CTGATAGGGTAAACAAGGGTTAAAATGATTAAAATGAATAATTGATAATTTGAAATAGGAAAAAAGGTCCAAAGACGAAGGAGTGAAGGGAGGGGAAGGGGAAAGGAAAAGAGGGAAAGGAAAAACTATGAGAAAAGAAATAAAATGGAAATGAAATCTATGTAAATAGGGAAGGGTGGTTCCAGCACCTGCCTCACAAGCCCAAGGATCTGAGTTCGATCCCCGATACAAAAAAAAAATAGGGAAGGGTGGAGGAGGTGAAGGGCACACAGATAATGGGGGGAAAAAACCAAGAACCAAGATATATCATGTACAGGTACAAACACCCAATGATAAATGTACACGAATTGTATACCTAAAATGTACCAATAAAAGAACTAAAAAAAAAAATTTGCAAAAGTTTTGAAATAGGCATTGGAGAATATATATACATATTTTCCTCTTTCTTCCTACCCCATCCCTTTCTGAATCATTGTATCAGCACTGTTCTTAGTAGAAAAATTCTGAAAGCCAAAGGGGGGGAAAAATGACAATGTTTAAGATAATACAAAAAGCTGAGGATAAGTGAGAGGAAAGACATTTGGGTAAGAGTTGGTCAGCTGGTACAAAATTGTTAAAGAGCAGAAACAAATTCTGATGTAATATTGCACAGTAGGGTGAATATAGATAATAGCATATTGTATTCTTAAAGAAAGTTGGAATACAAGCTTTTGCATGGTTTTGCCAAAAAGAAATGATAAATGTTTGAGGAAACATTTAACATTACACATTTAACATTACACAATGAATAAATGCATCAAAAATCACATGGTATGTTATGAATATTTACAATTTTTATTTGTAATTTAAAATAAAAAACAAACAAAATTATATTCTATTTCTTATGAATGTTGCTAAAAATCATATTCTATTTTTTGTGAATGTTGCTAAAAATCATATTATATTTCTTATGAATATTACTAAGAAAAATAAATTCAGAATATATTTTGAACTAAATTCGTAAGCCTAGCAGAACAAAAATTTTGTTATGTTGAGCCAGGCAAAAAAGATTTGCTATCAAAGACTACATATCATCCCATTAAAAAAAGACTAAAAGCTGTGACTACATAAAAATGTAAATCTTTTCTAGAGGAAAGAAAACGTGAAAAACAGAAATATAGGAAAAGATAATATTTTAGGTATGCTTGTAAGAAGCTTTCCCAATACACTTAAAATCAACAGCACAACCAGAAAAACTATGTCTAACATGGAATTCAGGTGTAAAAAAGTGTTCCATCAATAGTCACCAAGAAATAACAACTCAAAGAAAGGATGAAATGTGTCTTTGGGAATTTCTCACATCCAGACAATAGGAAATACAATGCTTATCACATTGACAAACTTCCTCTACTGAGGAGATTCCTGAGAGCTCCTTTCATATCCCGATTCCGCAGACTGTAGATGAAGGGATTCAGCATGGGTGTGACCACATTGTACAACACAGTGACAATGATATTCTTGTCATTAGTGTTATTGGAGGAGGAAAAAAAGAAGATCCCAATAATTGCTCCATAGTAGAGAGTGACCACAGACAGATGAGAACCACATGTGGACAAGGCTTTGCAGATTCCCTTAATGGAGGGAGCTCTCAGGATCGTGGCCCCAATGTGGCCATAAGACACCAGAATGCACATGAATGGCAGAGTAACAACCATTGATGCTACAATGAGAATAACCAGGTCATTGATGGTAGTGTCTGAGCTGGACAGCTTAAGTAAGGCAACAAGGTCACAGAAAAAGTGATGGAGAGTATTGTCTCTAGAGAAAGAGAGACGGGCTAGGAGGAGAGTGTGCACAAGGGAAGCGCCAGAGGATAGGAGCCAGCACAAAATTACTATCAGGACACAGAGGATATGACTCATGATTATGTTGTAGTGGAGGGGATGACAGATGGCCACATACCTGTCAAAGGCCATTGAAGTGAGAAGGAAGCTGTCAACTCCACCAAATAATAAGAAAAAGAATACCTGTGAAATGCACCCAGCATAAGAGATGGATTGGCTATGAGTCAGCATATTCGTGAGCATCTTTGGAGCTGTGACTGATGAGAAGGAGATGTCAGCAAGAGCCAAGTGGCTGAGGAAGAAGTACATGGGGGTGTGGAGGCGGGAGTCCAGCCTGATGAGCAGGATGATGAGCAGGTTCCCCAGCACTGTGGTCAGGTACAGGACCAGGAACAGCACATAGTACATGCCTTGCTCCTCCTTCCTTATAGGGAGCCCCAAGAGGATGAATTCAGATGAAGTGCTCTGATTATCTCTTCTCATATTCTTCTTTCTGTATTATGCTGGAGATGCAAGAAACAGAAGCGTGAAAATATAAATTCATTGTGACCATTACATGACAAAAACATGGTTTGTAACAAATCAGTATCTGCAAATTTTAATCTTTATATATCAGGCTTTTTGCCACAAGTGGGTTCGTAATGATTTAGACAAAGGACATTATTTGTCCACCTGAAAACTAACTCATTATTCTTTGGAGAAACACAAACTTTCTGAATGATTACCAGGTCAGACCTAGTTTTAACATGAAGATTCCCAGAGATGGTGACAGAAATCTGAGATTATGGATTTCAACACAAAGATAGGTCAGTATCACTTAATAGAAAACCAGTAGATGATCTCTAAAGGTTTATTGACCTCTCTTAACCTTCCTCATGTCTCTGAAGTAATCTTTTGCTAACACATTTCCAATGATCAGATCAAAGTAAAGGAATCCAATTGGTTGGCTGCTTTGGGTGTGTAAGATATTAGGATGTGAAGATTTTGGGGAAATATATGCAGCAGGTTGAAGAAGTGCTTTCAAAGTATGAATGTGTATTATAACATAAAATATCTTTGCACATATTTCGTAGCTCATCAACTGGTTTGTCCTTTAAAAAATGCTTTCCCATTCCATATTTTCAGTGTTTCATTACCCATTTTATAGGAATTTTCATGGAATATGAAGTGAAAGTCTGTTTTTCTTTCTCATTCCCACCTTATTCTTACCTCATATCAAACTAAATCATTCCTACTGAAAACGTGAGAACACAGGGGTAATATTTGGGTTTTCTGGACACATTCAGGATTTGACAAATAAGAGGCTGCTGTAAATGTCTGAGTAGGACCAGCAAATAATACTTTCTTCTTTCTTGTTTCCTATCCAAAGCTTCCGGTAAAGTTTGATTTTTTTTTTTGTTTGTTTGAAACAGGATATCATTTTTTAGTCCAGCATGGCCTTGAAATTGTGGCATTCCTCCCTACCTCAGCCTCCTGAGTGCTGGGATTACAAACAGGTGCCACCACACCCAGCAGGTTATGGGAAACATTGTTAACTGACATTTTTCTTGTCATTATTCTAATATTCTTTACACTTTGCTAATCTCTTTCTCCACCAAACCATTTTGTTATAGTTTTATCCATTTGAGTAATCACAAAACAATAGAAAAGAGAACATGATGGTCTATCTGAAAAAAATGGAATTCATTGTGTATATAAAGACTTATTCAACCTGGAGGTCTTTGCATTTGAGAGCTGAGGACATGGCACACTCTTTGACTCATCATTCATTTTGGAGGTAACTGAAGTTTACATACCAAACCAATTATCTCAACTTGACTGACATTATCTTATAATGCCTACATTTTAAATCCCATTATGCTTAAAATCCTCTCACTGTCGTATTATATGAGATAGGTTACATACACTGTCATGTTACTCATTTCCATGTTAACATTAATTGGTTTATCACAGTAAAAATGATAACTAGCTGGATGTTGCACATGTAGATATTTTAATATTTTGCCATTTCCAGAAATATTGCAATAAATAAAATTCCTCATGTCATCCTTCATATAATAAATTCCTAGAAATTCAATTTGAGAAAAATTGATTTTTATAGATTGTCAAAATGCAAGAGGCTAAGGTTAAAAGGAAGCTCATTTATATGTCTTATTTAAGGTACTCCTAAATGAAGAATCTCTCACTGGAAGAATATTAATATGGATGCCTTAGTGAAGTGTTGGGATATACCAGGCTATGACATCCAAGGAACATAAACAGCTCAAGACCATGGATATCCTGGGAATATTTGGAGAGAATTATCAAGAGGACAGAGTCTTCTGTAAAAAATTTTTAGTTCTATTCTAGAGCAGCAGTACACTGAAGAGAAGATTTAAGTAAATAAATGACTAAAAATTTTAAATAGCTTGTTGTTTCCTGGGTAGAGATAAGATTACAGCAAGAGAAAAGAATCATCAGGTATCTGAATAAAAGGCTAATATTCTTTGGGTTAAAAAAAACTGCTCCTTATAGCTGGATTGTGGCAGCAGAGAGGAATAAAGTTACAGAGATTTGATACGAAATTTTCAAGAAAAATCAATATTTACCAGAGTTAAAGGTATGCAAAAGAAGATATATTTTTCTAATGTCTTCTTTAATACTAAGTATATTGTCAGTCTCAGATAGATTATTCTAAAAGAATTGCTTTGCGTTATCCTTCCAAAAATGACATACTCAGCACAAGGTGAACTATCTACCCAGAGCTTTTCTTCAAACTGTGCTGTGAGTGAGGTAGTATTTAGGGATCAGCAGCATACACTGGACAGACACATCCATAGTCAATCATACTACAGAATGTTAAATCTGCTCCTACTCCGATACGAACCCTTAAGCAATGAGCCCAGATACCTTCAGAAACAAAGCAAGGGAAGCTTTCCAATTTCTCTCTAGAAGACAAGGAGTGCAGAGAAACAAGGAGAGTCTCCGTGGGCTCAAAGTTTCCTTGCAGCTTGCAGAAGAGCTATTAGTTCAGAATCACACCCAGTAAATATAGTGATACATTAGCTCACAGGTCCTGAGAAATTGATGTGAGTTCTAATTTTACAAACCAAGGGAAAGACCTGAGGAGCAATCTCTCATCCCCCAACTCAAAATTAGCAACAAACACACAGTATTTGGTTCTTTGCTGGGGTCCCTTGAGGGTAGAACTATTTGTTCAAGAAGTCATTGGAGAATTGACCTCTGGAGGAATAATGATAACCATGAGGCAGCCATTAGAGTTTTGGGGATTCACGAAGCTCTTTGTCTTCTCAGTTTACCTTGTGGAAAATGTGATTCAGAGTTGGTCATAAAGCAGGTGATTATTGAATTGACAATCCAAGTGTCTTGGTTCCAAATCCCATGATACCTCAAAAACAACAGAAACACTCCAATACCTTCATTCTCTGACTAAAAGAGTGAGGAAAATTATTTATCATTGTCACCAGTGAACTCAGGGACAGGAAATATAGCTGATATTAATCTGTCTCTTGTCCAAAGCTGTCATTTTAGTACTCCGTTGGTGCAAGATTCTCACAATACAATAAAATAAACATTCCATACAAGCTTCCCACGGAACTTTTACAAAATATATCCCAAGGGCTGGGGATTTAGCTCAGTGCTGGGGTCGCCTCCCTCACAAGGACAAGGTCCCGATTTCAATCCCTGGTACAAAAAAAAAATCTATTCCATACATTTCCAGTTCCATTTCTTTAATATCTGGTAATAAATGAATATCATCTATTCATTATTCAAGTGAAGAAGTGTTAATGTTTATAAATATTATTATTCTGGGTCTGTTTATCTAAAAAGAACAATCTGTGATTGGAATTACTATTTGGATGAGGAAGTCCTGTAAGATATTTAGACTTCAGGAATCATTTCAAGGTCCTTCATAGAAATCAAGGACTAACAAAATTTCCTCCACCCTCTCTTTGCTTTAACAATACATTAATACCTTGCTGAAAGTGTCTCCAGACCTGGCTCTGGTGCTGGATCTTGTAGTTTAGGTAAATGTAGCTCCACAGACAATGTTAGACTTAGTGGTGAGTCTGACTGTGATTTGAAACCATAACTAAACCATAACTAGCTCCACATAGAGGTAGTGGTAGATCTGGCAATACTGAAACAGAACCTAGCTAGGAAGCTGCCTTCAGCTCTAGAGTTAACTCTACTTTTGGTGTTCATGGTAGACTTGACACTGGAGCTGGTTTTGCCTCTGCAACTGGTGCTGGACTATTGCCCTGAGTTTTGAGGTACCATCCCCCCATCAGGAAAGCCACCCCCAGCAAGTCTTCTTAGACTACAGTTCATCCCAGTGCATGGTCTGAAGCTGTTCTTTAGTCCGAGACAAACATTAAACTCTGGAAGCTCTTCTTAGGGTCCCATGTCCTAGCCCCCCCCCACACACATGTATACTGCAGTCCTCCTCATTCTTAGCTTCTGCCTTATTGGGCATCAGATGCTCCAGCTGGGTCAGGAAGAACTAGATATTTTTCTCCCAATCTAAGCCACCAGCTCCTATAGCTAGCACAGTGCTAGGATTTACAGAAAATGGATATATTTTGTCTATTAAATGTGTTTTCATAAATTATAAATGTATAAAGGAAGAAAGGTTTAAGATTCCTTTCTTTAGAAAGTTGCTAAGAGTTAAATTCAAATTTATAATTCTATATACAAAAAACAGGAGAAAATTTCCCTGGAGGACCCTTTAAGCCTTCTGGACTACTGGACAAAACTCCCTCTGAGGCTAAAAACACCTGCCCAAACCAATTTGCTTCAGTTTCTCCAGAATATGTGGTTCCTCCAATTTTTCCTTAGGGTTCCCAGGTGCCACCCAGCAAGTATTATTTTTTTAAAAATCAATTCATTCCCTTTTTTCCCTTCCCCTACCCCTCCCAATTACCCTGGTCTTTTTGACTTTTTTTTCCTGTTACACAATATCAGTTATACATTTTTTAAATTACAATATTAAGATCTAGGAGACATTACCACAGATTTTACAGAAT